CAGTTTCAGTTGTTTGATTATGTTTCCTGAATTAATCAGAGTTACATTGACAATATCTGCATGCTGAAATAACTTGGGGAAAGTTTTTTTTTTTTTTTTCATGTGACTAAAGAAAGAATATAAAAGATTGCGTTCACACGTTGAACATGACCAGTCCTGTTTGGGACTTCCAGAGAGCCACTGCTCAACATTGCTTTGTTGTGCCACAGTGAATGAGTAATGCAGTGGAATATTATGAACCACTTACCCAACCGATTACAAAGAAATCCTACCAATCCGTCATAATCTTTCTGCACATTGTAGTTTCTGAACTTTAATTTTAACTAAATCAGATTCAACATAATTGATGGCAGATTTTAATTCAGGAAGGATGACTGCTGTGTCTGAGTGAAAGCTTTCATTCACGGACGTGAACACTGAAATGAGACACCTTACATTTTTGCCACCATCATCCCCATTCATGTTTCAGCCACTGCTCATGTTTTAAATGATCAGTTGACAGAAAATGTCCCACACTTTTATTGTTATGATCATGGAAAATTCTAATCTCTTCTAAGAAACTGAATTGCATGCTTTCATTCGCTCTAAGCAGAACATTGTCGTAATCATCACTGAAAAAACCTTGAAAACATCATTTTGCGTGTTATTAATCTATGCAACGTGTTTCAGTGACTGAAATAAATTTGTGTTTCCATAATATATAAATTTGTTAAATGGCTCTGTTGGTAAGAAGTACGGAAGGAAGATTTTTATATCCAGTACAGGTACTCATAATCAGAATAAAACACAACAAAAATCATCTATAAAGCTCAACTGATCAGCTCCAAACTAAACCCTAAACAATTAAGTTTAGAAAAAAGTAACCTGGCTATTAACTGGCCAAAAATACTTTAAAGAGGACCTTTACAAATGTTCAGAGAAATGAAGCAAAATACTTGTGTTCCTGTTTAAGGCAGCATATTTATGTGGTGTATTTCTCATCTGCAGAGTCTTAAAAAGTGAAGTTATTTTCTTCTTTCTTCTGAAGTAAAAAGCGCTTATTTGACATTTGCCTGTATTACCAGTTGTTTATGTCAAACATAAAGAACGTTTTTTAAAGTCCACACAAAGTTGAAGAATATTTAAAATCCCTCAAAGCAATAGTGATATCTTGTGGGAATTAAGAAGCCATGTATCTTTGGTCACATTTCTTCCTCAAACTGATGCACAGGCCTTCAGTTAGCTGGAAATTCAAAGTATAATACAGCGATTACTTCACACAGTCAGACCTAACCACACAAGAGGAACGCTCCCACTAAAGTTTCTTTTTTTTTTTTTTCCCACTGTAAACAGAGTTCTTGCTGATGCAGACATTTACAACAGCATGGCCTCAGAACTTCAGCCTTGGTGGTCTTACTGGGTGAGAAAACACCCAGTCTGTCAGCACCGTGGCACCATTTAAGAATGATTTTTTTCTGATAAACTGAGAATCAGACCTTTGTTTATCATTTTAGGCAACCGCAATTAGTATTTCCTGTGCACCACAATGCTTAGACACTCAGTTCATACATGAACTTAAAGCCATCGTAGAACAAACTCGAGCTTAGAAGTATATTCTGTTAAGAATTGCCTCATTTTTAGAAACTGTCATGCTTAATAATCCATTGTCTTCAAAACCCTCGAACATTACAAGGTTTTGTAAAATTACAGCTGAAAACTTTGTCGTATATTGTGATTTAATGTGATGTTATATGCTACTATATTGTAGCATATAATTGTGAACTGCAGGAAAAATGAAGAGGCTTATAAAAATATACATGTATATATTTAAATAAGAATTACTAAGTCAATACCTCATAGAACCACTTTTCACTCCGCATAGATCCAAACCTATTTGCAAATCTAGAGATTGTGTTTTCATTTTCTTGTTCATTTTTCTAAGTCGAATTCACTCAAATTTGCCTGGGAGAAAGAAGAAAAGCAAATTTTGGTCTCATCTGATCAGACGTCCTGCTTCCGTAGTGCTGCATGTATTGTGTGTGTGGTTTGTGGCCAGCTCCAAATAGGACTTCTCACTGCTTTCTTTCTTCCACAATGGTTAACTTTATGATTGTACAACTTGTAATTCTTATGTTCACAGCTTCATCCACCTGAGCCATTGATCTCTGCTGCTACTCCAGAGTTGCCATTTTATTACTTAACCTTGATTTTAACCTCTCCAGAACCTCATCCCTTAACATCTCTGCTGTGTCCCTTGGTCTTTGTGATTTATTTATTTTTTCTCCTCTAACAAACCTCTGAAGCTTCATTAGAACAGTGAGATTTACACTGAAATTAAATAACACAAAGACAGACTCCCTTTACTTTTTAGGTGACTTCTGTGTCCAGCTGCTTCTAATAATGGTGATCAGAGCAAAATGAGACAAACAGGTAGCACAAGTTTTTATCGGTGAGATATTTTCCTTCCATGTCACAGCCATCCACTGTAACAAAGGATTGATACTCTCCTGTGTCTGTTTTTATATCTTTCAAGAAAAGGTTTCATTAATTGAAAAAAAAACACAACAGTGATGCAGACAGCATCTAAAAAGGGTACAATATGTACTCTTGCTTCCATAAATTTGTACAATAATCATTCTAAATGCTAACTAATAGCACAAGCCAGTTCCCTAAAGAGCTATTCAATGGCCATCAGGAAAAGCAAACAGACAATTCATGTGGAGAATGTGCTAAAGTTGTTTTTTCCTTTGTCCTCAGACTCCCACCAAAACACCTTGTCAGTATTTGCAGGTGCAAGATATTTCCTCCTAAGGCTGCTGTGATGTGCTGAAACAATAAACATGGTGATGACTCTGGGACTTCCAACGCAGAACAAAAAACAAAAGCCAGAGGATACAGGAAATGTCACCCATTACTTCGTCCTGCAGGGCAGCAAACTGCACACTTTGTTTTCTTATCATGCCAACCACAGAGGCCATTTAGAACCATATTTTTCTAATTGAACAAGGCCAAAGGACTGAGCAGAAGGGAGGTGTGAAAGAGCAACCCACAGTTTGAGGCCCCTTGTTGACACAAGCACTCAGCAGACACCTCACCCAGCTAAGGTACAGGGATTGTTCAGTCTAGTCTTAAAGAAACTGCAACAAAGTGTATTAATAGAAAATTCCCTTTTGGTTTAGAAAGTATCAGCATCTACGGCCCCCTTTAGCTTAAAACATGCAGATTGTTTCTTCTAAACAAAAAACACAGTCACTATATATGTGCTTGCTTTGAGCCCAGCAGTCAAAAAAGTAATATTTTCAAACAGAAAATCTGAATTCCTGATTTTATGTTAAGAACTATGTGACAGATCATTAAGCATCTCTGCCCCAGGGAGTGATGAAATCACATGATAAATGCACAGCTGAACCTGAACTTTTTTTAAAATCACTTTACAAACAAGCATACCTATGAGAAAAGCATAAATAAATTCACAGTAAACATTAATTTTGTGGTATATAGGGAGATGATACTGTATATCACAATGAATTATGAGAATAAATCGAATGAAGAATAAAATTGCATGAACTGAAAACCCTCCTCACAGTGACTGTTTCTCTGCTTTCTGATGCAAAGCCAACCACATTTACTTCAGTGACAGCACAAAATGGCTGCAGCCACCTCAGCCATAGAACAAGCAAGAACTCACTCAGTGCAAACAATAGTAACAAGTCTGCAACATTCTGCATCTCCATCTTAAACGTTTAAAAACAAATAACAACTCACCCACACATTCAGCTTCTGTCGGAGAGGCACTTTTTAAGGAAACTGGTGAATAAGGGGGAAGCAATTTCACTGCGAGGCTTGGGGAATTCCCGTAACCCAGTAAAATGGCCTGACACTGCAGGCTCAGCCTGAACAGAACCTGGTGTGTGTCCAACTGCTCGGCCTCCCTTTTCGACTGAGTAACGCAGCACACAAGAAAACAAGTATGAACATTTAAATCTCTTTTATTGGAACAGTAGCTTGCATCCCCACCTCCTCTTTGCCACTGCTATCTTGGATGCCCATGGAGAAACCTGAAAAATGCAGAACCTCCTGGAACGTGTGACACATTTTCTTCTGAGAACAGAGTTCGGCATTCTGAGCTGTTCGTTTTTCTGTAATAAATGTTTATGTGCAAGATATGGCATGCAAGCATGCAGTAAAGCGTGTGGCCCCTTCTGCATGATCGTATCGTGATGCCATCACAGCTATCAAAGCTGCAGATGAAAAGTAAACAGCTATGCACCACCAATGGCTTTCCCTGAGGACATAAGGGCTTTTATATTATTAAACTACAATCTGTCTAACTCGTGCAACACATGCAGTGCCAAAAGAAAAAAAAAAAGAAAAACACAAACTTCCCCTTCAATCAAAAGGGAAATTCAACAACAATGCAGATATTGATATATTGATAGTGCTATTGAGGTTATCTTATAATCTCTTGTAATTATCATCAAATGGAACAATTTTATTTTGGGTGTGCCATTAAAACCAAAGTGACTGACTTGCTCTTTATTTGTTGCCTTGGATTTTGGCGTACTGCAGGGGATTTCCTCGCTTTTGCTGCTTTCCTCTTTTAACTGAAAATGGCTTGACAACAGCTGCGCTCACACATACGCAGCCAACTGAGACACAAAAGCAGAGACGGCTGTCACCTCTGTGCAAAGGAAACGCTACCTTAGCTTTGAAGGCCATATAATTTAAGTTGCAGTTACTTATATTGTTTTTACTTGTGCCATCAAATGATAAAACGTACTGGTGTTTTTGGCAGAAAGGGCTTGAATTAGACTGGGTGTTTCTGCGATGTTTCCATGTGAACATTTTTAAACACAGGCTCGGCCAGCCAAAAATAGAAACTAATACACATAATGTGAAATACAAACAAAAAAAATTAGGGTGGTTTGTTATTACAAAGTCAAAAACACTTTTTTTTTAAGCGGTACTTGTTTTATTGGGGTATATTTAAAATCACAGCTCCAATCAGACGGACAACAATATAAAGGCACAGCATTAGCACATACGAGTCTTTATTCTTCATATGAAGCTCATTTCCACACTGATGTAAACAACTTAAAGTTACATCTGTAAAAAAAAACCCGACAAGCGTCAACCTCCCAGGTGGAGTGACTAAACAAAAAAAAACAAACTAAAACTGGCTGGAAAGGTCATCGTTTAGTAGGACACTCTGTTTGGCTGAGGTGTGGCAGAGACGTTCGCTTTGGCTGCGTGAACGCGCTTGTCCTGTGGCCGCTGGAGCCGTTGAGACAAAGCTGCAGAGTCATGACGGGTTTAATCTTCCCCTCCGCAGAGGATCAGCAGGGTTTTACGGTAGTCTCCCGAGGTATCGCCCTGAAAAGAATGGGAAACACAGTCACAGGAGGAGTTTCAATTACAGGAAATTACAACGCATATCTGCTGACATTTGGCCATCATCGAGCTGGAACAGAAAAAAAAGGATTTACCTTGGACTTACTGAATAGCAGAACTGCAAAACAAAGACTTTAAAATAGTTATAATTATAAAACAAAGGAGTCAAATGTGGAATTACCCTTTCCATTCAGCTGACTCTGAGATGATGAATTTGGAACTTCACTGTAGTTATCTTTTGATAATATTTGGGCCTTTTTATTGGTACAGTTCCTCTTAGAGCGTTTGCTCTGTCCTTGACATATACAAAAAAGAAATGGTTTGTGTTTCTTATGTGTGAAGAAATCAGGCTCATGTGTTTTTCTCATTTTGTGCAAAATGTGTATCGTAATAAACGGCTTCTAGTGACTTCAATTCAGGTGTTTTTTTGTTTTTTTCTTTTACATTTTCAGTGGCTGTATGGCCATTAGGATGAAATTTATCTTAATCCCCTTTTAAATGTCCCAAGTGGTCAAATTATAATACCAGCATTAGACAGAAGACAGGTTGGATTTGCATGCAGTTAGAGCCGCTTGAAACATTCAGCATGCCGAGATGAGTAACAACAATCTTCATCAGCATAGACAAAGCATTGGCAAAGCATGAAGAGTGAAATAAAGTAACTTTTGCTTGGGATAATGCTGCAAAATGTCGGTAGGATTTAGTAAAAGTGGTGCTCATGTGCTATTTAGTTTGTACCTTTGATTGCAGTGATCAATATATTGAGATCTTTTGACATGTTCAAAAAAGATGAGGCAGCACAGTTTAGCTAGATATGAAGCTACATGTGCTGCAGGCTCAGAAGGGTGAGGGTAGATTGTCATATTGTTATATCCTAAGAGCTGTAGTTCTTTGTACAACACTGAAATGAAGTCACACAACAGTGTCACCTGGGTTTTTATAGCAGCTACAGCGAAAATAAAACTTGAAGAAAACACCTTTGAATATAGGAACCTTTAACAAGTGTAAAAAAAAATAAAGGAAATCATATTTTTTTACCTCATCGTTAAAAAAATAAAAAATAGCTGACAGATGTTAGCACTTGACTCTCCCTCCCACATCGTCTAGTTGCCTTGATTCTTGAATTCTTTTTTAGAATCAAGTCAAAAACAGTAACAGAAATCAAGCAAAAAACAAAAAAAACTGTAAAAAAAAAATAAAAAGACATACACAGATGAAACATGCATCTTCATAGTCGTAATACCAGGGCATCATTTAAATTGCAATTTCCATTCTACCTTTCAATAATATTGCTACACCTGCATTGGCTTTCCTCCAAGTACTCCTTCTTTCTCTACCACCAAAGAGACACGAATATTAATATTGCTATGTGAAAAATACACACAGCAACCAAGCTATGTTTTGCTTGGTTGTTTTGTCTGGCGCCTCTGCCCACTGGCAATCCTGCTGACATCTCAGTTTAAAATCTTTGTGTCATTCTTAGATTTCTAGATAAATTCCACTTCACATTATACCAACTTGAAATGAAGGCTCTCTTCTGATCTCACCAGATAAATAATTTTTTAAATAAATGTGTTGTTTTTAAAGTCAAAGGTTATTTGGAGTGTGTCAATATCTCAAAGCTTCTTCTTTTAGTCATTTATCCATCCATTTAAACCATGACCACTTTTTGACAAAGTGTGCAAATTGGCATTTCCTCTGCAAATAAAAGCCCCAAAACGTGTAAAGCAATGAACGTGGGTACAAGCAACTCTTGAAACAAGATAAAAGCTGAAATTGAAATAAACCTTAAAGTAATCTCTCATATTTATACTGTCAAAAGCAAATCCAGGGCATTCTGCTCGCTAGTCTTTATTGGTGTCAGGGTGATTTCATCTGTAAGTTATTATAGAACAGCTTTAAGGAACTTCCTATCTCTGCAGCCACCAGCCAATCACACAGCAGACACGAAGAGGAAGTTGGGTTAGGGAAATTCCTAAACAGCTGTGCGGTAGCCACATGCCTGCAGTCCACCGCAGGAAGCTATAGATTACCGTACCCCACCATCTCACCACAGCAGCAGCGTTTGAAGGACGCTGCTGCTGTGAAGGATCTGCAGATGCATGCTCACACAGAGCAACAAAAAGGCAACAAAGAAAAAAAAAACAGCAGAAAAACATGACAGACACACAAGTAGGGTGAGAACACAATTAACTTGGCAAGCGTGTTAGTGTGTCTAAGACTTAGACTTACAATCATAGTCTCTACCTGGATGAATTCATGGAGGGAGACGTCGTGCGTTTCTTTGAACTCTTTGCGAATGTTGAAAAGGTCAACCTCGCTACGGGACACCATGATGCGGATCAGGGCTCTGTCGTCCGTTCCAAGTCCCTGAAGAAGAAGGTCGTGCTTACTGGTCATACTTTGCTTATTCTAATTTGCAGAACATTTAAATACACCTTATTTGGAAAAACCCAATATTGTTTTACAGTGCCAACACAATAGATGACATTACATATTAATATTCACAGCACAAACTTTGTGCATGATTTTCTTTGAAATGAGTAAAAAAAAAAAAAATGGGTCAAACTTAAAACTTTTAGAACAACTTTTTTCCATGTTCATAAATGTGTTAGGAACATTGAGGACTTTCTGCCAAAAAAAAAAAATGTCAACTTTATGTCATCACGACAGAAAGTGAAAAATGGGAAATATAAGCAATATAGGGATTATTATTTACAAACTCAAAGTTGTTGACTTATGGGCATGTTAGGCACCACTGTCTTGTCAATGCATCCACTTCAGGGGCATTTTGTCTTTGGTCTAAAGCAGTAGGATCTAATATTTTGTATTTTGATTTATTGAAACAGATCCATGATAATGATGGAGGGCCTCCATGCTTTAAACTACTGTTTGAAATTAGTGGTTTCTTGGGTGAAGACAGTTTATTAGGGAGAACAATCTTGCCTTCATAAGTCCAAAAAAACATTGCACCCTTTCTGTTTTGGTCAGTCTCTGTGCTCTCTGGCGAACCACATCAGCAATAGGAGACCGACAGTTTTTATTTTGAACTCACCACTTTCAGTTAAGGATTAAGTAACACTGAATCAACAGCAGGCATTTAATGGTCTCCAATAATCTACCTTACCATGCCCACTTGCAAATTATTTCCCATGCTGAAAAATAGAATTTAATGAAAAAAACAGAGATACACTCATAGCTTAGTGATTCTGTATGTGTGACCAATACCTTCATGGCTTTATACAAACGGTCTGCAAAGTAAGATGGCTGGTTCTTCACACTGCGAACTGAACATACAACAGAGAATGAGGAACGTCTCGGGAGGAGTCACAGATGTCAGCAAAGTGCACTTTAAAAAGCAAAATATGAAACTTAATAATCAACGCAACCGTTACCTATTGCATAAAAGGCGTTTTTGACATCGCCAGACATTTCCTTCTTGATAATCTGCTCAATGTCCTTGTTGGTGCATTTGACAAACTCCTGGAACACTGCGATAAGTACAAAGAGTGAAATCACTGAGTGCTGGGACAGAGCTGCCTGTCTTGGAGCGAGATGTGCAATTAGGCCAGATTGATTCAGATTTGATCTTTACCTCTCCTGAGGTGTGGGAAGCTCCTGGTGCACAGGATGCTCATGAACTTCATCTCCATGTCATCAGACTCTGCATTGCATGCATCTGCAAGTTCCTGATTTGTTACAAAACCAGAGCGGGAGAGAAAAGGCATTGAGTCGATTTGTCTGAATTCCAGACAGTAAACAAAATAAGATGAAGTCATAAACTGCTTCACCTGAGCGTCTGCACAAGCTCTTTCCACATCTGCAGGTCCTTCTTCTCTTGCACCCTGACCGTGGTAAATAAGGTCAGATGTAAATTTTCATATGCCCACCTTTGATCTACTGAATGTCAGCGGTTAACCACAAACGCTGTTATCCTCAGTGCAAAAAAAAAGCATGTCACGACATTCTGAAGGAAATAATTGGAGTGCATGAGTAGATCTTTGTGTCTGTGAGAGACAGGCGGAGCTGAGAAGACAAACGAGACTTTCAGCCAGTGAGTGGGCGTGGAAATTACACGCAGACTGACTTCTCATGATGATGATGATGGTTACCTGCACGAGAGAAACGAGGATGCGACAGAAGTGGCCTGATGTGTCTGAATGAATGGCGTCCTCCAAAGACTTCTTGTAGCCTGTGAAGTACAGTTTTTCAGATCCAGAAAGTGATATTAGATCTTAATTTAAATCCCAGACTCACCTTCTCTGTAGGCAGCATTCATGGCTTGTATTTCCTCGTTTGTTCTGGTAACTAGGATCTCAATCAGAGCATGCTCATCTGTCCCAGCTCCCTGTTAAAATTACACACACAAAAAAGCAAAGTTTTCACAACATTGTCACTAAAACACTGACAATCATCTTTTAGCTAAGGTATACTCCAGTTTAATTAATTAACTTAACTTAATAGGTACTGAAACTGACTGATTTTCATATCCTGACTGGCAGAAGCTAAACGGTGAGGTCACAGCAGGACCTTACTATTGGACACAGGGATGGACGGTGGATTGGAATCAGATTAGGAATTAAGGTTGGAATAAAAGTTGGAGTCAGTGTCGGACTGAGGGTTGGAACTAAGGTTGGAACTAAAAAATGTCGATATGAAAAGACACAGCCGTAACATCTTGCATGAGCAGAATATGGTAAAAGTTTAATTGTTGAAAGTCTCCAAATAGCTGGTTGTCGTCACCTGGTGGTTGCACGCTATCACTGTTTTCTGCTAAAAATGAAAATTTTGACTTTTTTTCCTCCATTACGATCCTCCTCAATGTGAGCGGCTGGAAGATTTATGATCTCAGTCCAGGTTTTATTGAACCACACAGCTATTTCTGTGAAATGCAGTAATGAATTTAGGTAAGCAACTATTTTCTTGGAGTCATTTTCTAATTTACGTATGGTGATCAATATACGTCTCCTTACTTCAATAGCATAATCTCTTGTGTTTCCCAATTTGAAATGTAGGAAAATTGGCACATTTTATTTTTTATATCTAAAGAAAGCAAAAATTTAAAAGGTAAAATATAAAATATAAAAAGGCTCAATTTATAGTATCAGAGAACATTTTCATTACACTACGACATAAATCAAAAAGTAGATTTCCTAAAATTTTCAGTGTGATATAATTATTCTGAAATAATAATTTTAAAGCTTTTATGCACCTTTACCTTGGGTGCCACTAAATCTGAAGGCTGCTACAGTAGTTGCTGGAGGGCTGATAGTGTAAATATGTTTACAAGCCATTTAATTTCCCTTTTGAGTCTAATTTGAAGTGATTAAAAAAAGCTGCACAGATAAAACCAAGTGCCAGCAGGAGAGTTTCCCATGATTTGACTTAAATTGTGTGTCAACATTTACCTTTAACTCCACACAATCCAGCCAAGCATATTTTAAAAAAATAACATTTATATATAAATGGCTATGTGGATCTAGATGTAGTTTAGGCTACAGCATCTTGTCTGTGCAAGACATACTAACAAATATGAGGTCATTAAATGCTTTGGGTCCACTCATACTTTACCTCCATTGCTTTTTTCATCATTTTGGCATCAAACTCTGCTGGGGTCAGCATGAGCCCAATAATCAGCCGCTCTAAGTTCTTTGACAGCTCAGACTTCAGGTCCTTCATCAAGTCCTAGAAGGGGATCGAATACAGCGAGTTCTCAAGCAATTCCCACCACACGGCATATTTTATGACTGACAAGCTTTAGACCATACTGGTTGTATGTCTTTACTATCTGTCTACTGTATCCTGTTATTTTTGGTTTATGTTTTTTTTTTAAACATTTGTTTCTCTCACCCTTCCCAGGAGGGATTTGAAGGCCTGTCTGATTTCCTGCCTCTGAGCGTTGCTTCTTTGTGCAACGATGTCAATGATCGCATCCTCATCTGTTCCTGTTTATAGGTAAGAGACAAAAATAAAAATTACTTCACACGAAATATAAAGAAAACTTCAAAACTGACATTATTGTGCACGTGGAAATTTACTTGAGCACATTATGGACATCTTTGGTAAATTTTTTTAACCACAAAAAACCTTCATATTTGCAAAAGATTTGCATGAACAAGTTTTTTATTTTGGTTTGGGTTTTGTGTGGCTTCCCTATTTTGCCACTCCACAGAAGTGGCAGAGCACATTTAAAGTGGTTAATTTCCTGCAGCACATCCCATGCTTTACAGTACGCAATTTTTTTTCTTTAAGTTCGAAACTTAAATTAAAATAGCAACAAAAACCTTGAAGCTTAGTGTGACTGGCTATGGGTCATTTAACCACTTATTGCTGTGTGTATAATTTTGACCCTGTGTGAAATAGAGACATTTTAATTCCAACCTGTGCTCCCATTTATTTATTTTTTAAACGCTAATGTTTTGTTGTATCGATAGTTGGCAAAACACTTGAAAGAATGATTCAAGTGAGCCAAAAAGCAAGATGGCATTTCTCTACTGGTGAGTGTACGTAAGCGTCGGACCAGAAATGTTTGTGTATTAAAGATGCATACCAAAACCCTTCATAGCTTTCCTCAAAGCTTGTGCATCGGCTGCAGGGTCGAAATCAGACGCAGGGCGGACTGTGGGCCTCAGCTGAGCAGGTGGAAATGACAAAATTAGAAGAACGATAATCAGTAGAGAGAAGAAGATAATCAAAGTAGGACAGCTGCTGATGCACACACGAGTGGTTGTGATTGGTATTTGCATGCTAAGAACAAAATTTTTAAAAAAAGAGGCCAGTAGAACATGCAAAAGGGACAATTTTCACATTTTAGTTTGTTTGCTGTGCAGAGATTATTTAACCGATTGTTGTGAAGCCTGACCCATATGATAACCGACCCCTGACATTGGAGGGGGCAGGTGACCTTATGAAGTCAAAATTCACAGCAACACCAAGAGTGAAAATGTTGGTGGACTTGAGAAGTCACAAAGCGTTAGTGAGACAGCCTTTTGATTATAACAATGTCTTTTGCTGAGACCTTTCTGACGTTTGTCCTCTATGCTACGTTGATCTGCACACAGAGGGTCTGGAGAGCGGATTACAGAGAAGAACTAGTTGTGTGTCGGGGGTGGGAACAGCATTCTCATCATATCCAAAGTTAAACAAAGCCATCCCTGTGCTCACATGGCTGCGGCACGAGCTCAGCAAGAAGCCGATTATTGAGGAGCCAGCAGGTATTTGAGATTCCAGGTTAGCATGCAACGACACATCTAAAGAGCAGATGGGATCCAAACCTTCACTTTGGTCATGGCACTTAATTCCCACATCTTGTAGGCTATCTGAGCAGCTTCGGGGAAGAACTCTCCAGCTAAGCTGCAACAATCAGTTTGACACAACATTGTACACTCAGCAAAGTCAAAACCTCCTGCTTCGCTGCACTTTTTGGAAGATTCAGACGTTGTCAAATAAAGTCACTCCTTCACAGAACGCATTAGCGTCACTAACAAGATTTTTACTTGTGCCTGCAGCGTTAATATGAGGACATATTGCACCCATTTTGTATAGAGTGCTTCAGTTTTATGCACTCTGGAAAAAAACATAAATCAGTAACTGAGAGTTTGTCCTCTAGCACCCTCTGCTGGTAATTTCTGCTTTCTGCAGCAAAGCCAAAACTTACTCATCATCCCCTCCACACAGGTTAAGCAGAGTCCTCTTGTAATCGCCAGACGTATCATCCTGATTCACACGCATAAGACACAAGCTAACATTTCAGATGAATTACATTCTGCAACAATGCATCGAAAATGTTTTACTGCCTGTAATTTCCAGACCTTTATCATGTTATAAAGAGACTTCTCGTATCTGAGACGGAAACACTCCCGGATGTCCAGCATGTCGATTTCAGAGCGAGAAATCATGATGCGGATGAGAGTATTATCAGCTGTGCCGAGGCCCTAGAAGACGGAGAAAAAGAGTATTTGTGGGGAAGGCAATGTTTAAAATAAAATATTGAACATTTTCCAAATTTAAATTTGTTTTAATTCAGAAAATTTTAAAAACTGTAGCTGTATCTGGCTGTGTGCTCATGCCTTCATGGATTTGTAGAGACGTTTGGCAAAGAACATGGGAACGCTCCTTATGCACTGGACTGTGAGAAAACACAAGAATCAGGGGCTGGGTTACATAAACGACGCCATAGCTTCATTTTTTACAGTGTGTCTCTTACCGACAGCCAGCATGAGCCTTTCAAAATCTCCAGACAGCTCGTTCTTAATGCTATCCTCGATGGACATCTCTGCAATCTTCTCATATTCATCAAACACTAAACAAAACAAAAAAAACAAAAACAAAAAAACAAGACAACATATTTTAATGTGAGGTGATAGATCACTTTAAACTTAATATTGAGTTTGTTTGAGGGGGGTTGCTTCTGATGGGATTTTAGAGATTTCTTTGAAACATTGTGAGGAATGATGATGCTCCTCAACACACTATAAGTTCAGTTTGAATTCCTCAGGATTTCCTCTCATTCTTGGTTATGTGCATGTTTCCTCAAATATTTCCATATCCGATCCAGTAAAATTTCAATAAATGTTGTGGGGGGCAAATTATTATAGGGTAATACCTGCTGGTTGAATTGCTATATCTTTATTCTAAATGCTTGTGAACTCTCACCAAATGAAGCAGAACGTCCACTCCTTTACAGAGATTTTGCAAATAATAGAGATTTAACAATCTTTTTCTTACATGCAGCTTTCTTAAAAGCTAAATATTTCTCTCTCATCTGTCCCATGCATGTCCTCATTCAGGTTTTTAGAAACATCCAACAAGACCTGTGAATAAACAACCCCTGAGGCTTTTACTGCCAGAGACTTGAGGTCACACTGGGAATGTACTGGATGCCTCACCGCCATGTTGACCCTCACATGAACTGGACTCACCCATGCGAAGGTGGGTCACACTGCGGTTTCCTAGGATCATGATGAACATTGCTTCGTCCGTCCCCCACTTCTCCTCTCCAGCAGCGTACAGGGTCTACCCAGAGGTGAGACAACGTCAGAAAGACGTTACCCAAAAAAACAAGAACAGTAAAGTCCATTATAGATAACAGAATCAGACAAGAATCCTAGCTATAGATGTTATAGGGCTTTTTCCCTGAGATCCATAAATAAATAATTACTGTATTTCAGAATAACGTTGTATAGTTTAGCATCTTGAAACTTAAAAAAAAAGACATTTCTTTAACAATGTATGTTTGTGTTGCTCATAATTCAGCTGGTGTTCTCCACAATCTCTTTTAGGAAGGTATAGGTTGCTATTAGAGACACAGCCTCATAGCATTGACTCCAAAAACCCCCCAAACTTTTAGAAATTAGCGTCAGAATAATAGAAATAATCTGAATAACCTAAACCTGCATCATCTGAATAATTATTCTCACTTCTGCGTCCTGCTGGACCAGGTCTGCGTCCACCACTCCCGATTCATCTCTGGTCCCCTGAAAACATGACATCCAATTAACTCACTGCTGGTCATCTGGACCGTAAAGACGTTAACGCAATGTCTTCGTCGCTCTCTGTTTGCTTGACAAACCTGAAGCAGAACAACCAGCATCTTCTTGAAGTGACCCGATGTGTCCGCAATAACATCCTCCTCTATGTCCCTGCCATAGGCTGGAGACATACAAAATGAGACACTGAGATAACATCATAAGGTCAAATGAAATATATACATATATTCTCCAAATGTCCTTCACGTCTTACCGTCCTTGTAGGCTGCAACCATGTCTTGTATCTGTTTGTTATTTCTGGACGCCAGGACTTCTATCAGGCATCTTTCGTTTGTTCCGGCTCCCTGAAGCAAAGCGCGAGGGTGAACACGGAGCAAGAGCTCCTTTAAATAATTACCAGAAGGAGAGTAAATGACATACTTTGACTGCATCATGGATTTCCTTAGCATCGTGGTACGGAGGGGTTCTCATCAGACTCACGATGAGACGCTCAAATTTTCCAGTGAGCTCATATTTCAGATCTTCAATCAGATCCTGAGGAAACAAAAGGATGTTGCAGGCTGAGAAAAGCATATTTGGGACTGGAACATAAAAGTCCCGTATGAATCTTTTGCGCACCTGCCCAAAGCTGCATTTGTACGCCGCAATGACTTCTTGCCTCTGTGCGTTACTCCGAGAGGTGATCAGGTCCAAGATTGTTTCTTTGTCACTACCTGAAGAGCACAAAGCAGATTTTTTTTACTTACTCCACTGAGCTAGGAGAGAGTAAAGATAACATATAGCTTCCTGATCATGAGTTCCAGAGGAATGAGGATCTTACCAATGCCTTTCATTGAACTGTACAGAATCTCAGCATCAACGCTGGGATCAAAGTCCGGAGCATCAGATATTGTACCTCTGAACACCTGTTTGAAAAATAAAACGAAACTGAAATATTTTTGTTGAAGCAAAGACAAAAAAAAGTGTCACGTTAAGGATGTTGAACGTCTCTGATGCATCATGTTATGACAGATCAGCTGCATTTACATTTGGATTAAATTAGAAATAAGTCAACTTACTTCTGAGTAAAGGGTCTTTATATAAATGCTTAACCCAATTTCCTGACACAAATGTGCTTTAAATAATATTGTCAAAACTTAAATCCTTTTCATCTCATTTCACAGCTATGCACTTGTTTGTTTCCTCAAAATCCCAAATTCAATTTACTGAAGTTGTGCTTAACCTTCCCAAACTATGAAAAAGGTCAAGGAAAGTGAAAACTTTTCAAGTCTCTATAGACATACAATCGTGTCAAGAAAGCACGCCCCTTTACGTGTTTTAGAATCTTAAATAACACAAAAAATATAATACGTGAGTCTTAGAATTACAAACTCAGAGTGACTAGACACCAATACAAAACTGCAACAATTAACCACTTAGACCTCAGCTTGGGGAGAAAGAAATTCTGTGTTTACCAGGAGCCACCCACTCATGTGCAGAGTGATGCTAAAGTATGTGTCTACATGTGGCAGGGTTGCCCTCAGACCCCTTGTCTTCACAAGGGTCTGAAATACAATAGAGTTAGAAGTACACACCTAGTGTACCTCTAACTCTGTTCCCTCTTGACCCTGAGCCCTTCATTTTGTCCACAGATGGCTGTGACCAAACAAACTCTCTGGCTGTGAGTAAATAGGTTGATTTACTCTTAGTTCTCACTGCAGCTGCAGTTGAGGAGATGACTGCAGCATTACGACATGCAGCGAGAATGTACTCCCCTCTGCCGCCTGCACATGCTCAAATGCTCTGCGTCTGCGACCATCACTATGCGCGACAGCTGAGCAGCTGCAACCACACAGCAACAAGGTCCCAAATATCTGGCCTTAGGAACAAGCTTATGTCTAAATGAGTATATCAATGAGAGCGAATATGGATTGAATGTTGTCTTCGCACTCCTTTTTTGCAAAGTGTGTCATGTTTTTGTTTATTTTTTCTTCTGAAATGACCCAGATTCTGCAGATTTTGGATGTTTGGAACGTCAGAGCACCGACTTTGGAAACGCCTCGTCTGCTCTGTCTGAGTTACGGGACGGGTAGCTGTGACACCCTACACTGCTGGCTTTATGATGGGGAGGGATCACATGGTACCAGGTGTACAGCGGCCGTCCTCACTTCATTCAGTGGCACACAAAAACCGAGCATGTCAAATAGACACAAGATCTCCTCCACAGTTATCAATCGCAAAACTTGAAGTGTTTCATACGAGCCAGATGGACGTAAAGCAGGACACAGTGGTGAGCCAGAAAAAAAATGATCCATCGTTTTGAAAAGTATTCTCAAGTAAAAAACTAAAAAGTGTTAGTAACATTTGTATTCAGCCTCCTTTACTTGGATAGAAGCAGCCAACTCTGAAGGAGTTGCAGAGATCCACAGATGCGGTGAGAGAATCTGTCAGCAGTAGAGCTTTTAGTCATGCACTCAAAATTGGCCCTAATGACAATGAAATGTCCTGTTTGACGTTTGGAAGAAGGGTAAACAAAGCTCCAGTCATATGAGACCACAACTTACTTGACAGACACTGTATGCAAGGGGAAAACTAGCACTCAACATAACCCTGATACATCATCCCCGTAGTGAAATTTTGTAGTGGCAGTGTCAAACTGTGGGGACGAGTTTCACCACTGGAGCAGCAAAGCAGGACGGAGCAAAGAAGAAAATTACTGGAGGCAGTAAATTGCTTGATACTGTTGCAGAGAATCCAAATAACTTTGAACAGACAACCAAAAAAAAAAAAAACATTGAACAAACAAATGGCCCAGTCAAAGTCCACACTTAAAGCCAATTGAAATATTTTTTGAAATTGTTGTTCACAGACTCCTTCCATCCAGTGCGACTAAGTTGTAGTGATTTTTGCTCTCTACAAAAATCAGTGTCTCGATGTGCAAATCTGGCACATCGATTGTGGCGATCAATCACAATTGATCAATCACAATTGATCGCCACAATCATTCCTTTCCTTCAGCCATACAAGGTGTTGAGAGAACAGTTTTGTCTACTCACCATGTCTGTGTTTGGTCTCCTGTGTCACTGCTGCTCAAAAATCTGTTTCAAGAGAGAGAGAGGAAGAGAGAGAAAAATGCTGACTTAAAAGCAGCAATACACACCAGGTCATTTTGAATTGGACAGTAGCGCTTGAATATGCAAGTCATCATGATGCAAAGAGGTATCATAATGTCCCCTTTTAGTGACGGGCCTCCTGTAATTACATCAGTTTTCCAGAACAGTCCAGGATCAAAAGATGAACAGGTAAAGAAGTGTCTGCAGCTGAACTGATTGGCTGCATGGGAACCACATTAAATAAACCAGCAGGGAAAATGACTTGTCCCACTCTGCACTCTGACATGTTTAAAGGATCCCTTCAAGCATGTCATGGAGACTAAGTTTCAATGCAAATGACTGAAACCAATGAGTTTGTATGGAACCGAAATACAAATACAAATACATGCCTGACATAAACTAAAATTGTTTGTAAATAAAAGGAATGAAACACACTCTCCTGGTTTTAAATGCTGGGTATTTGCGCAGGACAGCTGTGACCCAAAAGTAGCAGGAGGAGTTTGAGTTAATATCACAATCAGTGTCTGAAGGGGGATCTGGGGTTCTATAAATAAATGGCCACACCCTTTTCTGTACCTCACACAGCAGAAACAAATTCAGCTGTCTGGTTTGGTGAAATAATTTCAACTTTTCCATTTTACTTATTTTGTTGTTTTATATCTATACCTGATTCTCTAGAAGAGCCTTCATCTTTGCAGCAAGTCTCTCCCTGCCTCACTCTCTCTCTCCTACGCACACACACACGCACAAATTGAGCATCAGCAAACTTCTCCTGCGGATTCTGACGCGGCAAACCTCGCGTTGAACCAAGCTGGCAGAGATCTGACACAATATAAATGGGACGAAGGGGCTTACCTTGGCCGTGCAGGAGTGATCGGTGCGGGGTTCCGGCGGTCCTGCTGCCTCCTATGGCAAAAAGCCGCTCTGTCTCCCGCCCCTCCTGCCCCGTTACGTGTCCTCTGACGCAGCGACTGCAGCGCACTCTGGCTCTGCAAATAAACCGTGCAGTTGCGCGTAACAGTGCGCATGAAGTAGAGCAACTTTGTTCCTCAATGAAATGACTTAACAGAAACCAAACTGATTAGTTGTTGTTGAAATAAGAATTTTAAAGTAGCACAATAGTACATAAGTTAACTTTTAGGTTAAGATAAACTTAGATACAAATCCAAACTGGCACAGCTGGTGACTCTTTGAACACATAAATTTCTAATCAGAAAGCAGTCTTATACTCCTTAAGGAACATTTCAGACAGGGAGTGTATTGGCTATCAGGGCAGTAAATTCTTTACTCAGGGTTGAATAGTTCAGGCAAACACTAAAAACTATAGAAGTCTGTTCCAACATATAATCAAACATATTGGTATATTTCTTTAAGCATTAAAAAGTATGTTTTTAATTAGTTAGTTTAGATCCAAACTTATAGTCCTTATTTAGCATTACATTTTGTGCAAGCTTGGTTAAAAATACAAACTACTTTCTTGTTGAAGCATCTTGAGGCAGAGATAACGTTCCAGTTCCACGCTGTAAATCAGGTCGGAGCCTGGTACGGAGGTTGGGTCTCAGAGGTAATAAAATTAACATTAAGACAGCCCACACAAAGGAAAAGAACACACCTCCTAATGCATATATTTAAATGAGGAGAATATGCAGTCTATAAAAAATGGTTTGTTTCACAACAGAAGTTGGAATCTTTTTGTGCTGAGTGAGAGATTCCCGGATGCATCTTCTGTTATTCTTTTGTCTTTTTTTTACTCAGTTCTTTGTCTCTGTTTTGTAATGTCTTGGACTTTTGATAATCTAGGTGAGATGACTATTGTAACATTCTTCTTGCATTGATTTTCTCTGGATAAAACTCTGAATATCTGAAGTCTGACGTCGTATGATTGCTCTTTTCTCTCTGCACACTTACACAGACACAGGAATTCGGGACAAAGAATTAATTAAAGAGCTAAATCAAGTTATTCCTCTTTTTAATTCTTAACATTGTGTACATTTTATTATTATTTATTTATGTATTTATTTTTTGTGATTTTACGCACGCGTGCATGGAAAGTGAGCCGTCCACCGTTTCTTTTATGACCTAAAGAGGCAGGACAAGTGCTTAAAACAAAAACAAAACAAAACAAAAATTCCGCAAGATTGACACGTTTCCACTTTGATGGTTCGAAGTTTGCGTGGGAGCTCTGCGGTTTGGTTCTCACACGGTGCAGCTGTAAGAACTGGCCTGCTCTATTTCTGTCGCGTCAGGAGTCCATTCCAGTAAGCGGGGGAGAGATTCGCCAGCAGAGCTGGAGGGGGAGTAGGAAGGGGGAGGCAGGGGGCAAAGAGCCACAGACAATGTCAGGACACTCTGGTGTCCAAAATGTAACTCGGTTTGGTTCTTCCATAGAGGCTGTAAACACACAAAACCACTTTATATAAACGGTGTTGATAATAGTTTTGTGATTTATTTGAATCCCTCCTGAGAATGGACTGACTTCTTTTACTTTACTCAAGAAGAGATGATGTGAGAGAGACATTAGGTACTCCCTTTCGTCAAGTTCATTTTGACAGGTGCCACGCCCCTTTTACAGGAAGTCCCGCCTTAGATGACCGGATGTCCCTCCTTAGATGACCGGAAGTCCCGCCTTACACCACCCCATCCCTCCCTCCCTTTCGAATGTGACGACGTGCCCCCTCCTCCTCCTCCTATTGATTTTTTCTTTTTTTTTTTAAAGAGTAATACAGCACCAACAACAGTTATTTAACCAAGTAAAATGTATATAATTATATACTAAGCCTAGTGAAGTTTAAAATAGATTTGGAATGTAGATGTTACTTCTGATTCTGTGCCTGTGTTCAGCCAGGCCTACAACGGGGGTCTGAGCTGTGGGTTTGATCAATATAGCTACGATCTATCAATCAATCAATCAATCAAATTTTATTTGTATAGCACATTTCAGCTACAAGGCATTTCAAAGTGCTTTACATCATAAACACAAAACACAAAGGCATGCAACATAGAATAAAATACCAAGTTTTTTTTTTTTTTTTTTTTCCCTCTTCTTTCCCTTTCTTCCCCCTTCCCTTTGACACGGAATTTAAGCGCCTGTTACCGCCGGACTCCGCCGTCCGTTTAACCACGGGTATTCGCCGGGCCCCGTTGCCCACAACAGGAAAAAAAAAAAATTACATTCATATCCACAAAATCAAATCCATACATATTACATTTCAAATGCAACTCTAAACAGGTGCGTTTTTACTTGAGATTTGAAGGAAGTCAGGGTTTCCGCTGTTTTACAGTTTTCTGGAAGTTTGTTCCAAATTTTTGGTCCATAGATGCTGAAAGCTGTTTCTCCTCTTTTGGTTCTGGTTCTGGGGATGCAGAGCAGACCAGAACCAGAAGACCTGAGAGGTCTGGAAGGTTGATACAACAACAGCAGATCTTTAATATATTGTGGTGCTAAACCATTCAGTGATTTGTAAACTAACAACAGTATTTTAAAATCTATTCTTTGAGCTACAGGGAGCCAGTGGAGGGACTTTAAAACTGGTGTTATGTGCTCTATTTTCCTGGTTCTAGTGAGAACGCGAGCAGCAGCATTCTGGATCAGTTGCAGCTGTTTGATTGATTTGTTGGACAGGCCTGTGAAGATGCTGTTGCAATAATCAATGCGACTAAAGACAAACGCATGATGAGTTTCTCTAGATCTGGCTGAGACATTAGTCCTCTAATCCTGGAGATGTTCTTCAGGTGATAGAAGGCCGATTTTGTTACTGTCTTTATGTGGCTCTGGAGGTTCAAGTCCGAGTCCATCACTACTCCCAGGTTTCGGGCCTGATCGCTAGTTTTTAGTTGTAATAACTGAAGCTGTGCATTGACTCTAGATCGTTCCTCTTTAGGTCCAAAAATAATGACTTCAGTTTTATTTTTGTTCAGTTGGAGAAAGTTTTGGCACATCCACACATTTATCTGCTCTAAGCATTTATTCAGTGATTGGATGGGTTCAGAGTCACCTGGTGACATCGTAATGTAGAGCTGTGTGTCATCCGCATAGTTGTGGTAGCTAATATTATTTTTCTGTTATAACCTGAGCTAGTGGAGAATATAAATGTTAAATAAGAGGGTCCTAGGATTGAACCTTGGGGTACCCCACATGTGACCTTTGACCTCTTTGATGAGAAGTTTCCAATTGAAACAAAGAAATCCTTGTTCTTTATGTAGGATTCAAACCAGTCGAGCACCGAACCAGAGAGTCCAACCCAACTCTCCAGTCGATTCAGTAATATGTCATGGTCGACAGTGTCAAAAGCTGCACTGAGGTCCAACAGAACCACCGTGGTTCTGCCACAGTCCGTAATTATATGGATATCATTGAATACTTTTACGAGGGCAGTCTCCGTGCTGTGGTGAGCACGAAAACCAGATTGGAAAGTGTCAAAGCAGTTGGTCATCATGAGGAAACTATTTAATTGTTTACACACAGTTTTTTCAATAACTTTGCTGATGAATGGGAGGTCAGAAGTCGGCCTGTAATTCTGCAATAGTGATTTGTCCAGATTGTTCTTTTTTAACAGTGGTTTGATGACTGCTGTTTTCAAAGCCTGGGGGAAAACGCCTGATGTGAGCGATGAGTTTACGATTTGGATCAGATCAGCAGCAATAACAGGCAGGACTGTCATGTTTTGATTAGCTCGGCGAACCCACATGCGCAAAACACACTCAGGAGGGAGAGGTAAGTGCAGTGAGATTTATTGCAACAACAAAAATGTGACAGTGAGGGTTGCAGGGAGGAACAGGCGGCGGCGTCGCAGGAAGGTGGATTGGAGAAGCGGTTCTCAGGAGCCACAGGGAGGATCAGAGCACGTCTCGATGAATCTCCTGGCCAACGAGAATCCAGGTGGAACAGACTGCCAGGAGAACACGGGAAACAGGACCTGAAGGCGGATGACAGGAAAGCGTTAGGAACCAGATCTGGTTGGTCTGAGGTTAACTTAGCACAGGTTCTACCATAGGCGAGCAACACTCTGACACTGGAGTGTTGGCATGATCTTCCAGAAGTACTCCTCCCGATGAAGTGAGTGGCCACAGGTGTGCAGGAAAAAACCACCAGTCACGCCCCCACGCAGTGTCGCGACGCCCCCTGGAGGAGAAGCTGAAGGCGCACCTCCAGATTCACAACAAGGACTTTCTTAAAGAAATGTGTGGGAAGGACATCCAGACAGCAGGAGCTTGAACTTAATTGACTTATAATTTCTTCTAGAGTTTTATAATTAAGTAGTTGAAAATGGGTCATTTTTTCTGTATTTGTTTTGTTTTGGTACAACAATGGTTCTGGCTTTAGAGTTGATGTGCAGATTAATCCTCTGATTTTTTGAATTTTCTCTGAAAAGAAGCTGGAAAACTTGTTCCAGGCAGCAATAGATTGGAGTTCAGGTGGTAACGTCACAGGAGGGTTTGTGAGCCTGTCAACTGTTGCAAATAAAGTTCGAGCATTATTGATGTTTTTGTTTATGACATCTGCAAAGAAAGCCTCCCTTGCATGTTTTAGTGTTGAGTGATAGTTACGTAGTCTTTCTTTATAGATGTCATTTTGAATGTGAAGTTGAGTTTTACGCCATTTTCATTCTGCTCTGCGACAGAGTTGTCTTGCAGACCGAACTATTTGTGCATTTCTCCATGGAGATTTCTTCATACCAGTCAAAACCTTTACTTTAATTGGGGCAATGGAATCAATGATATATGAAACTTTAGACTGAAAATCATCTAACAACTGATCTACATCATTACAGCTTAAGGGTGAGGAAGGAGAGTAGATTTGATTAAATGTTTCTGCTGTGTTTTCTGTGAAAGAACGTTTTGTGATAGTAGCTGTTTGTCCAAGTGGGTCAAAGAATAAAGAACCTTCAAAGATAACAGCGAAGTGATCCGACAGGGCGACA